GAAGATTTCATTGCTGAGACAGTTGTCATTTGAAAACTGTTAGATTGCTTATTATTCGAATTCATTCATTTTATTTCTTTCATTTGAAAAAAAAAGATTTTTGTTTCAAATTTTATAATTTTTATATTTCTTATTTGTTTCATTTTTATTGCTCTTTTTATTATTTAAAATATATACGTGAATTTTCGGTTTAGCAAATTTGCGACCACAGTCATTTCTTTTTGTTTGTGAGAGAGAATATTTGAAAAAATATGCCACCTAAACGAATCGCTCTTAGTCGATCGACATCTCAAGCGCGCAAAAAGAGAACTACCCGTGTTTCAGAAAAATTGGAGCAACGGGAAAAAAGACTTGAAACTAATCGAGAACACAATGCTTTAGCCTGTTCCTTAGAAACGTCTGAGCAACAGGAAAGAAGACTGATAACAAAACAACTACGCACTGCGGTTCGTCGAAGACATCCGAGCAACGGGAAGCAAGAATGAAAGCCGATCGAGAACGCACTTAGCTATTCAGACGCTGACAATACTCTGATTTGAATCTCAGCGCATTTCACTATGATCCGACAACCAAGTATAGTCTTCACCCAAGCGTCATCATCGGAAAAATGGATCAATTATGTACGTTTTGCAATGCTCTGAAATTTAAGAATGAAACAGCTGGAATTTTCTGTTCTGGAGGCAAAGTGAAACTACCAGATTTAACGTCGCCAGCCGAGCCATTTTCAACGCTCTTATCAGGTCAAACAAGTCAACCGAAACATTTTTTGGCGAATATACGCAGTTACAATTCGTGTTTCCAAATGACTTCATTCGGTGCTACACGTATCGTGAACGAGAATTGCATGCCAACATTCAAAGTGCAAGGCTAAATTTATCATCGTGCAGGATCACTTCTTCCATTGCCTGGCGCAGATCATAAATTTCTACAGATTTATTTTATGGGTAACGCAATTGATCAAGTCAATCAACGTTGTCAGTTAAACAATGGCACTAAGCGAGAAATTGTTACCGCATTACAAAATTTTTTCAATCAACATAATCAGTTAATTAGACTGTTCAGAACTGCCCTTGACAAAATGCCTTCCGATAACTACAAAGTTGTTATTAGAGCTGACAAAACACATGCAGGCCACCACAAAGGAAAATACAATGCACCAACATTGGACGAGGTGGCTATTGGTGTTGTTGGCGATTAATTTACCTCCCGCGATATAGCTCTTTATCGCAGAAATGGTGACGTTCAAAGAGTTTCAGAAACACATCGATCCTATGATACATTGCACTATCCTATTTTATTTTGGCAAGGAGAGGATGGATACCATTTTAACATAAAATTGAGAAATCCACAAACAGGCGAGAAAACCAATAAGAAAGTTAGTGCCATGAATTTTTATGCATATAGATTAATGTTTCGCCAAAACGCTGATAATCACATCTCAAAATGTCGACAATTTTTTCATGAATACATTGTCGATATGTATGCGAAAATTGAAACCGAACGTCTACTGCATATTAAATTAAATCAAACCAAATTACGTTCAGAAGAATACATTCATTCACGGGATGCAATAATTAATGATGGTAACGTTAATCCAAATGATATGGGGAAAATGATTATACTGCCGGCTACATTTACAGGGAGTCCAAGACACATGTATGAATATTCACAGGATGCCATGACATATGTTCGCGCATATGGACTCCCAGATTTATTTATTACATTTACATGCAATCCTGCTTGAGTTGAAATTAAAGAGCTTTTGTTAATAGGACAATCATCATCGGATCGTCATGATATTACCGCACGTGTGTTCAAACAAAAATTAAAATCTTTACTTGATTTCATTGTGAAGTGCCATGTTTTTGGAGACACACGGTGTTGGATGTACTCTATTGAATGGCAAAAAAGAGGATTGCCACATGCACACATTCTGATTTGGCTTATTGAAAAAATCACACCATGCCAAACTGATCAGATCATATGAGCAGAAATACCTGATGTCGCCATTGATCCAGTCTTATTTGTGACCATCATTCAAAATATGTTTTATGGTCCGTGTGCTTCACCATACATGTCTGTTTGAAAATGCACTAACGGTATCCTAGAGAATTAACTGCTTTGACTATCACGGATTTTTTCACCTTTAAATAAAATTCTCATTTCAAATCATAATCACAAATCTCATTTAAACACCCAGATACATAAATTCAAATTCAAATTGGAAGCGTTGCAACGCGCGCAGGGTACAGATAGTATAGTATAATAGTTAATTGAATATTCACTACTTACATTTTCCCTCACTCTATGGAAGAACCATCTGCTGTAGTTTTGATTTACCATCTTTTTTTCATCTTTAATTACGTGTGGTTTTGCATTTTTTTTTTCAACTGTCAAGAGATCAATACCTTCTACTTGTAAGCTTAAGTTGTTTGAGGACAAAAATGTAAAAATTAAAACTTCCTTTCACAAGCAATTTCTTAATTACTCAAATAACCTGATCTTATATGCGAAACAAGAAAAAAAAACTCACGAATTTAAATTTTTTATGGCGAAAGTAATAATTCAAATAGCTTAGAAGGTTTTATGTGAAATATATTATACATTTTTTATAATACATTATTTTTGGTATATCAATTCCCTTATACTCTTCAAAAAAGAATGTTTCCTAAAATAAGAAAAATTGTCATTGGTACAATATAGTACAAGGCACCACCGTATGATGAAATCTTGGACAATTAAAAAAAAATTGAGTTGTTTCTTTTAATTAGTTGAAAAAAGTTGAATATTCGTGCAATTAAAACTCATTTTTTTAGACAGCTTTCATAAGCCAATCATAAATGTCATGCTAAATAGTTTAGGGAAACGTTTAAAAAAAAAGGAGCTGATTTTCTATGAGCATAAATTTTTTTTACATATTGTGAGGGATATAGTCTACAGGAAATCATATTGCTGCCAACTGTTGTGCAGGATCTGTTGCACATACCTTTATCCGGTCTAAAGTTAATCCGGTCTCATGCAATTTTTTGGCTTTTGTTAAGCCTAACAAAGATTATGTGTGGAAAATGCACACTTAAATGAAAATAATGTATCAAAGAAAATCTTGAAAGGTATCAAAACTGAATGCTCGGAGGTGCAAATAATTACACTAGTTTCTACATGTAATCAGAGCCTGACGAAAGGCAGGGGCATACGGGGCAGTTGCCATGGGGCCCACATCAGAGGGTGCCCCAAAATCGAATACAAACTTTAATTTAGGTTTCCTTCTTTAATAAACTTTTTTTTAAACAAAATATCAGTACTGTGTATCAGTATAAAATCTGTCAGTTTTCTGTTAGCTTCTTTATTAATCTATCGTAGGAACAGAAAAAGTCTATATTTAAATCTATGGCTCTCTAGTGCGGAATTCAGCTACATTTTCGCAATTATGATGGACAAAAATTTGTCCAATGAAAAGCCTGTATTTTTATAAATCGCAAAATGCGATATGTCTACGTCTACAAATATACAGGCTTCTGGTTGACTTAAATGAGCCATAGTAATTGCGAAAATTAGCTGAATTCTGCCTTAATGTCAGCAAGGATATAAATTTTTCGTAACTGGATGACAAAGAGGGGAGGAGTGGACTTTATAGCTATTTCAGGTTCTAGTCAATTCTCTTGTTATATATGTACAACGAGGTGAAAAATTTAAATACCTCCATAAAGTTCAATTCTTCATTATTGAAATAGTGAAGCAGAGGGAGGCCCCCAAAGAAGTTTTGCCCCGGGCCCCAATTAGGCTAAGTCGGGCCCTGCATATGATACCATGTACAATGCTTCAAAGTTTGGCTTTCCGCGTGAATAAGTAAAGATTTCAGTCACTAGTTCATTTTCTGCATCGATGTTATTCGTCTTTCAAATTAACTTTATCTTTAAATAGATTTGTCCGGTTTTATTCTTTCTTAAATGTGCACTTTTTGTAAAATGGAATTTCGTATTGTTACTGTTAGATGAATGGAAGGAAAAACTTTTAGAAAAAATTGACAAAGATGTTCTACCTGCTTTTCTTGGGGGATCTAGGACCGATCCAGATGGTAACCCTTTGTGTACTAGTTTTGTAAGTTAAACTATTTGTTGCTTCACATATTATTACTATGCAGTATTTCAATTTCATTGTTTATGTAACTAATTTTACTTGTTTGTTTACATAACTTGCTTATAAAACAAGTTTACTGGTAGTTTGAGTGCTAACCTCTTATCTAACAGGTATACTATTCTTGCTGGTAAAATTGTAGAATCGGGGGACCTTTGGATTGGCGACAAATTTCAATTCCAAATTATTAGACGCGCTATAAGATTCTATGTAAAATCTTAATTATCAGATGATACTATACAGCTTTATTGTTTTTAAGCTGCAGTAACCAGTTTGCACTTGTTTACGTTCGTGTATCAATTGGTTAACATTGTAATGCAATACGTTAAAAATAAATGCAAATAGGAAGTATATAAAAAATCCCCTGAATAAAAACCCATTATATTTATGTTTAAATATAAAAGTATTGCATTTAAACTCGTGCAAAGCATGTAATTATTAAGACCTTACAGTGCTTCTAATAATTTGGTTTAATTATTATAATATACTAATATAATACCTTATATAATAGACATTCTATATTTATATAATATATCGTCTTATTTAACCAATTGATACAAGAAAGTAAACAAGTGCAAACCGGTTTCAGTCACGTGAAAACAATAAAGCTGCACAGTATCACCTGATAATTAAGATTTTACATGGAATCATATAGTGTGTCTAATAATTTGGCCAGAAACTGTACATAAGGCATTTTTTTTCAAATTGCCAAATATCAGAGAGGCTTTAACTTTTGCTGTAATTTATAATTTGGAAAGCTGGAAGGTCAATCCTCTATATTGTATCTTTTATATTCCGTATATCTAATCTAGTTTTATGTTTCAATTTGATGAAAGATGCAATAACAACTGGTTATTTTTTTTTAGATTAGACACGGAAAGAAAATTCCTGAAGAACTGTATTTAAAGCAAAGATCATTAATAAACGAAAAGGGAGTAAGAAAACTAAATGTGACCAGATCATCTTTCTCTGAAGTGATGCTTTTAGTTCACGAACCAAATACGTTTATTGAGTGGGAATTTGAAACAGCTAGCAGGAGTATAGGTTTTGGTCTCTTCTTTAAAAACGAATCAAACTCATGCATGGAAATAGAAGAACTAATTGAACTACAAAGATTTGAAGCTACTCTTGAAACAGGCATTTACAAGTGCATTAAAACAGGAACATGTAAGCACAAAAGTTTCGATCAATTGTTTTATGATTGTGATTGATTGTTTTTCCATTATTATTGTATTTTTTTTACATTTCAAAGAATTTTTTGAAGAAAATATTTGATTGCAAATTGAATTTTAGAAAATTTTTTTCAAGCAAATTTTGGTCATCAATATCATTGAAATATTTAACAGAGTAAAAAAATATTTCTTACAAAGATTAGAATTAACAGAAACGAATGACAAGATTTTAAATACTTATAACTATAAGAAATAAGCAAAATTAAAAGAAATTGTAAGTCTTTTCCGCCAACGAAAGCCCATCCTTTTAGTTTTGCGTGTGTGCGCTAACTCACACATTAGCTTTCAAATCATTGGAATGCGAAATTGACAGTGGTTTAACCTTAATCACAAGTATATCAAGTTTCATGAACTTTAGACCAAAAGTTTTCTTTTCTTATGAGTGGTATCCATAAATATTGCGAGAATTTTGAAAAATCATCTGCGAATGGTTTGGAATCATGAGCAGTGTGAAACGACAAAATGTAATGAACGTAATTTCGCAAATTTTGTTTGAATATTTTTTCTTTGCTTGGCTAAACATGTTCGGCTCAGACGAACCCTAATAATCAGTCTAGTACGAAAAATTAAAAAAAATCAAGTAATTCTAATATAATTTTAAGAGAAAATAACGTCTATTATATTTATCGAAAAGGCTCTGGATGGCGACATTTTTTCTGACATGGCTCTATTTCAGCTGTGTGTCTTGTCGCATGAGAGTAATAGTTTATAGTTCGTTCACCAAGAGTTGGCACTTGGCACCACCTCCTCGGACGAAGAGTTCATTTCAGATCAGGAGTAAGAGGAGAAACGTCTCCGCGCTTGAAATTGAGACAACCCTTAATGCGCGCCAAGCGCAAACTGAAAATTCTTTTCCAGTCACTTACTTCGTTTTATCATCTGCTATTATACCTTTCGTTACTCTAGCTAATTAGATATATTGTAGCAAAATATCTCAACAAAGGACAAATTATTCACTCGAAAGAGCGAAATATCGTCAAATTCATGAAGTATTTTATGTTAAAAAATGCACATAAAGAGTGCGAAATAAATATTTTTGTCATACAATCGCCAAATAGCAACCTTATTTAGGATTGTTCAAATCTTCCCTCCAAAATAGCTTAATAGTATCGTCGGATACCACGTGATGAAGGCGGAGCCAAGTGCCATCTCCTTGTGAACGAATTCGAATTATACCAGTGATTGCAGTCGTGTTCCGACCTGAATTAGGTCATCCTCTCATCTGATTTTGAAGCCTCTGTTTTGTTATATTAATCTGTTATTTACGTAGTATTTATTAAATCTGAGTGCTGTGAATCGTTCCATTATCTGGAAGTTTCAGCTAATAAAATTATGAAGCCTGGTTTACTCATCTCCAATCTAAACGAATCCATTTTCTTGGTACAACTTAATTGTATAATAGATGTTGGTTGTGTAACACACACGAAAGGGTTACACATGTTCATTAAACTTTTGTAATTGAAAAAATAGATTGAAATACTTTTCTTTAAATTGGTCCATCATTTATTTTAACAAGTGTACTAGTTTCGAATATTTAAATATTTAAAATGTTTTTGTAATCCCTGTAGATAGATAGCGTCTTAAGAATTATTTTAAGAAACAATCATATATCACGTGAGTACTTGCGAGTCACGTAAGAAGTTACTGTTTTGTATAACCTGTAAGTGAAGAAATTATCGACGTTCTTAAGATTGTCGTCATATAATGCTCTTTATTACTGACGAATTTTGCTTTTCAGCAAATATTATGCTCTTTTCATTTTATTTGTAATTGTAATTCATGTTTTTTTTCGCAGCAAAGGGTAACTTTAAGCATTTTAAAGGCTACGGCACCATATTTACTTCTATTGGTTCGGTTGACAAGTAACGTTTTTTTTGTCGCTAAATGACCTTGTCATACTCAGTTACTCAAACGTCACACTGAATAAATTGCAGTGTGTTAATGTCAATTTTTAATTGTTTAATCAGATAACACTTTTTGCCACTCCACTATACGGCTTTCAGAAATTAAAACTGACAGACGCATACTTACTTTGAATATAGCACTTACATTAATGTTGAAGTATAAATCAATATTCCTATTCATTTGTACATTTCAGATGGATAATAAGTAAATGTATGCTTGAGAACTAATGTTTTATTATATAATCATAATCCCCCCTTAGAATAGCTATTATAAAAAAATAATAAATAAAAGCGTGACATGATTTTATAACCGTCGTTAAACAGTCGACCCAAATTTTCGGTTTACAACTATTAATGTTCAACTTCGTAACCTTGTAATTTTGAACCCAATCAAGACAAGGGAACTCCTGTATCAAGTATTGGGAGAAATTTGCCGTCGTGGAGGACTTTTTGATGGAACTAACCTGCATTTGCGTTACATGGAGAGGAAGACCACGAGAGCCTCCCAAGGTTAGCCTGATGGCAAGGGGACTCTAGCCCATGATCCGTCTACCACTGAGGATATTTCACGTCAGCACTGTGGTCGNCGCAATTTCTGTCTTTTGCATCATTTATATAATATTTTTTTTAATGTTTAGAATTTGTGTAATTTTCAAAATTTCCCACGATTTTTCCGCGAATTTGTGGTCTTTTTTTCCCGCGACAAATTGGCAGCCCTACCCATGATCCGTCTACCACTGAGGTTATTTCACGTCAGCACTGTGATCGGTGCAAGCTGGATGCGAAATTCATATTGACCAGCCATCGCTGGGATTCGAACCCGGTTCACCTCATTGGAAGGCGAACGCTGCAGTTCCTAGTAAGAAGTAAAATAATAACAAGCAAAAGATGGCTTATAACAAGGTTTTATACTACAATAAATTTTACTTAACGCTGTTTTTCGAAGCTCTGTCGCCAAGGAATATAAAAAAGCCATAATTCAAGATCCTTACACTAGAAACAAAGTGATGATTTTAAACTATATATAAAAATCTTGCCGTGAAGAATTATCTCGGCTTTAGAACAGACAAATAACTAAAATATTTCAAAAGGTTATTAAACTTTTTTAAAAATCGGCAATTTGGTGACATTATTCCACCTAGATGAAAATTTTCAAAATTACTGCCTTATTCTCAGTTTTTGCAAATTTTTATGAGTTCAGGTAATGCAGCATTTGAGAAAGTTTTTAAATATTAAAAAATGAGACTACAAACGCTTTTAAGTTTCACAGAGCTGCGGACGTTTTGAGCCATTTTCAAAATAAGCGTTAGACAATGCTGGTTATAGTTAGGCTAAACTTAATCTAACAGTCATAAGTAACAGTTGCAAATCATCACAGCAGTTATAAAAATAGCATATTATTCGCAAAAAAGTACCATTTCATATTACGGAGCTTTCGAAGAACAGTTTTAAAAATTTAATCAGTTTTGAATATTGGGAGGCTTCGTCTACTGCTCGCTCCGCCAAACTAGAAAATCAGCCCAAAACCTGGAGGAAAAAAAACTCAAAATCCTTAGCAATTTTTATTAAGAAAAAGTAAAGTCTTTGTTAAGTTTTAGAAAAGATGAAGGAAAATTCCTTTTGATTTTTAGGATGAAAAATACGAAATTTTGAGTCAAAACGCTTAAACCTTTTACAGTTTTTTTAAAGGCTTTGTGCCGGAAGCTCTTCTGCTGGAATTTCAAAAATTCCTATGAATTTTGGAAAGAAAATTACGCTTTTTGAATTTTTTTTCTTTAGGAAATTCTGGGAGAAAGCTACATTCTTTTTTAAGATTTATTTAATTTCCAGTCGGCGTGTTAATAAGTTTTAATTTCAAAATTAATAATTTAATCTTAATTTAAACAGCAGAAAAATGTCGCTAATTTTTTATTGCATATTTTATTACTGTATATTAAAAAAATTAACAATTTACGTAAAATTATGTAAGTTTATGTAACTAACGTAGCTAAAATTCTGCCCAAGTATTTTTTTTCTTGTTGATAATTTAGTGTTACGAAAATATTTACATACACAAATAGATAAAAAGATTCGATAATAGGAACATTCTAATCATAAAGTTTTTAAATACTTATCCGTAATAACTAATAATAAGATAAAAATACTTTTTGCAAATAACACGCGTTGCCTTTACAATGTTCTAAGAACTGAGATATCCTTTAATTTTGCTCATTTCTGTTGCGCTTCAATGATACAGGTTGTAAAAAAAAACATATTGTATTTAAAGATATTATGACGGAATAGTTCGAATAGTTGTAACAATTTTACAAGTTCAACCTTATTTCAACGAAACTTTCAGCATACGAACAATTTCGTGTATTTCACGAACTAAATCGAGCGCAACTTGGCTATTGTTTCTTGCCTATCAAACCCTTTATACAATCTTCTCTGTAAGAAAATTTAAACTTTAATTTAACCTTTCATTTCCTCGGACCGCATATGTGAACCTTTGCTTTTTAGCTTCGAAAAAACAGCCTCTTAAATTAGCTTCTAAAGTATGTAATTTTATATTGCAAATTGTAAAATTTGAACAGAATCGGTCGAATAGTTGAGAAATTAAATTTTAAGTATATGACTTCTTTGAAATTCAATTTCTCAGAAACTATTCGACCGGTTTTGCTCAGATTTTGTATTTTGCTATATAAAATAACATTCTTTAAAATTATGTAAAAAAAATTTCATTCATACCTTACAATTCAAAACTGTTTCGACCATTTTTAAATAAAATAATAAAAAAATATTTTTGGATGAACAAATTTTATAGTTGTGGGTAAAAATGTTTCAATTAGCTTAAAAAGTGTTCGAGATCTAGCGAAATAAGCACAAATTTAAATTAACATTAAGGTGTCCAAACTTTGGAGCGCTCTTCTAACCAAACTATTGGGACAATATTTCCCAGATTGCAGCTACCCTTTATATTTTGGCGATCAGAATTCCGAATCTGTCGAAAAAAGGTATTTTTATTCAGGGAAATAGTTTTTTGTGTCCGATTTCGTAACTTAAAGTTCCGTCTGTACTCATTAATTAGCATATTTGAGGTCACCCCCTCGAGCCACTATTGAGTCTTGGAACGTAAAAATCCGATTATCAGATCAAAGGTAACTTAGGGTGTTCCGGTTTATTTGTGGCGCACTGCACATACATACATTTAATAATTTTAACTTGTGAATTTTCCCTTTTTTTAAAATTTGCAATGAAGAATTAATTATTTTTTTTAAAAAGTTAATGTTAGATTCATTTTAATAATTATTTATTTTGCGTCATTTGCATAATTAAATTAGCTTTTAAACTGAGATTCCATGTAGTAATGCTTCGGTTTTCATTTAGTATTTCATCTCATTGTAAGAAAACTTTTTTTAAATTTTTTTTAAAAACATTTTTATATCTTTTCATCATTGTATTTAAATAGACCATAATACAACGTTATGCATGATCTTTCTTACTTTTGTTGCAGTTTAACATTTCAAATATTTTTATAATTTTACTCTGTTAAAGCCTGAAGTCCACGTATGTGGACCTAAAATTATTAGATCTCTGGCAGTATAATTCATACACTGGTGGACAAAATTAAGAGATGGAAGATATTTTCCCAAATATCTCAAAAAATACTGAATATAAATAAATAAAATTTGGTATGGATATAGCTTATTCCATGATAATAACGTATGCAAAACAAAAATGAAAGTGCCATTCACTGGCAAGACCTATTGCCAATAAATCCAATGTAGTCTGAACTTAAGGATAAAAGATGACAATAAAAGTGAGGCTTGTACAGTGTGTGTTGCCTCTAGTATGGTGTATGGTCACCCCTGACAGACAGACAGCATGCACAACGAGTATGCATGCTGTTAATAAGGGAGTTAAGGAGGACTTGTGGAAGACCCTCCCATTCTTCCACCAGAGCAATTTTTAACTCCAGAATGGTTCTGGGGGGAGGTTGGCGCATCGCAATAGCTCTCCCAAGAGCATCCCAAGCATGTTCAATAGGATTCAGGTCAGGGGATTTGGCTGGCCAATCCATTCGTTGAATATCCTCGCTTTCCAGATACTCATCAACCATGAGAGCCCTATGTGGTCGCGCATTGTCGTCCATAAAAATGAACTCAGGGCCAACAGCGCCCCTGAAAAGACGCACATAGGGCTCTAGGACCTCCTGCCTGTACCTCTGGGCATTCACGGAACCATTGTCAAACACATGGAGCGGTGTGCGGGTATCTTGCATGTGCGAATGAATGTGCGAAAATGCTTTCCATCTCTTAATTTTGTCCACCAGTGTAGTTTGTTTATCTTATTATGACTTATGACAGTAAAATAGAAATTCGGAACTGAAAAATATTTTTTCGCTATCTCCCTTTATACTTCAGTTGTGAAGAGCGTATTCATACTCGGCCATGTAACATAACATACTTTATTACCATGCCAACGAAAATAATTATAAAAAAATTAGGGGGATCACAATGTGGCATAATATGTAAATACGTATATATATATATTTATAAGTGTGTAATATAATGAAAAATTTAAAAATCGGAAATTGTTTCTCACTTTACTGTATATATAAATGGTCCCAAATATCACCGTAATATTAACCTATAACTTTCAAACTAGGCTAGATGTAATATCGTAGTATACTATATTACCATACCAAAGGAAATTATTATAGACAAATAAAATGGCGTAAAAGTTAATGTATTATTTGTTAAAAAGAATTTTTAATTATTGCTGATTTAAACTTTTATACTTTCCTTTACATTTCTTTTATTAAAGCTGTATATTTCCGTTAAAAAACCATTACTTTCTAAGAAAAATATTGGAACCTTAATAAAAGCTTCACCTCTTGACTCTATCAAATATGACTTCATTCTAAATTTCATAAACCACAAAATTAAGGAAAAACTTACTGACAATAATCTTAAATAAAACTATTTCAATCTTGTGCATTTCCTTATCTATAACTTCATGCGTGTTTTTATGAACATTTCTCCCCTTGCATTTACTCTTACATTTCTTTAACAAAACTATTAAAATTTATGCAAAGGTTTCGAGAGGATTCTTTTACTTGAGTGCCTGCAAATCCACTTTATTGATTCACATTCATTATTATTATAATTTTTTTTTATTATTTAAAAGAAATATTGTTTTTCCAGAAATTAAACATAGTCTTGTTAATGAAATATATAATTTTAATTTTACGTAAGCATATTTTGTTAATATGTTAATCTTAAAGAAAATTATGCTTTACATCTATGATTAAAGCGATATCTTTTAAGAAAATAAAGATCGACTTGTTGATGAAATATATAATTTAAATTTTACGTAAGCATATTTTGTTAATATGCTTACGTAAAATTTAAATTATATATTTCATCAACAAGACGATCTTTATCTATGATTGATTAACGAAAATTATGCTTTACATCTATGATTAAAGCGATATCTTTTAAGAAAATAAAGATCGTCTTGTTGATGAAATATATAATTTTAATTTTACGTAAGCACATTTTGTTAATATGTTAATCGTAGCGAAAATTATGATTTACATCTTAACAAGACATAAACGGTTGTTAATATGTTTTGATAATATGTTTGTTAATGTGTTGAATTGCACATTAACGAATGTTAATCGCAAAAAAATTACGCTCGGGGAAACATAACGCTTGGCGCAATGACTTATGACCAGTGGTCGGAAGTAGCGCGCTACATGTAGCGGAGCTAATGTAGTTGCTACTTTTTTCCGTCGTTTGTACTGCAGTGCGTAAGTAATACAATACAAAAAAATAGTATTTTGTGGCTATTCCTTGCAAACCTTTTCTTAGCGTTTGAGTAAAGAAACAAAGTTCAAACGCAAAAAGTTTTTCGAATTTGACGTCAACTCACGCAATAAGAATGTGTCTGTGGCCGAGCGTAAATAAGATCTACATCTGTTGCTCCGGAAAATCAGTGCGAAATCGGTCGAATTATTTCTGAGAAATCGAATTTTAAATATCTGACTTTTTTAAAATTTGATTTCACAGAAACTATGAAGTACGTTTTTGTATCGGATTACGTAACTTAAAATATCGTCTGGATTAATTAATTAGCATATTTGAGATCCCTCCCTCAAACCATTGAGTCCTAGAACGTGAATATCCAATCATTAGATCAAAAGTTATTCAGGATGGTCCTTTATTTGTTTTTCGCCCTTTCTTGGAAGGTATAGAAAAGCATTGATCACTTAAATCACAAATATTTGATAATTTCCTAGCATATCTTAAATTTAATATTCAGTGTCGAGAAAAGCATAGAGTTTGAAGGTTAAAAGAACAAATTCATAAAAACTGCTTAAGAATAAGAGACTATTTTATGAAAACATGACATAAAACTTCGTAATAACTCCTCCTATTTAACCAAGCCAATTTTTTTTAAATTCAAAATCATTTTGAATAATGGTGAAAATTAAGTTTTCCATTTAAGTTTTGTTTTCTAAAAGTAGTGAAGTATTTAGCAGTCGTTACATTTAAAAAAAAGTAGTTGTATTTAACTACATTTGTAATAAGGTAGTTAACTACAAGGAATATGTAGTTTTTACGACCACTGCTTTAGACTAAATCATATTTGCGGGGGAAATAACTCATTTTGTTCATAAATAAAAATGGCTTTTTCCGCATGTCAAAATTTAACTTATTTCATTCTTTCCTGTAAGTTGCAAAGCGGCTATTTTTGCTCCATCTTCAACATTAGCATCATTATAGTTTTATGTCATATTATACTCCCAAATCGTTTGTCTACTCACTTTTCTAATTTCATGTCTCATAATTTTTGTGCAGCAAAACAGAATGCAACGTAAAAAAAAATAACACTGGCGGTGTCACTTTTAAAATGAGAGAAATAAAATTATGATTAACCTTGCTAATGAAGTTAAAAACAAGGTTAACTTTGTACTATATATGAATAAAGCTAAACAATGTAAAATTACTACATAAACAACCATACTATAGTTCTGATTCTGTGTTGAAACTGAAGAAGCTTTTTCGCTTTCAATTGTGTTCAGTGCGCATGCGTCGTCATTGCATGAGTTGCTATGGTGACAGCTGCTGTTTTAGAACTCTTTTTTTTTTTCACTTTTAATTTTGTTACGCATTAGGTTGGTGAGTTTATTTCTTTTTACCAGAGCGTGTATTTTTAATGTTTTTACATAATAATTTTTGTGTCCTATTTACGATTAACTTATTCATAATTACTGTCTTTATAACACATAATAATTTTTGTGTCCTATTTACGATTAACTTATTCATAATTACTGTCTTTATAACGATTTTAATATGAATATGAATACTGAAGAAGGAAAAGAATTTTGTGACGTCTTAACAAACGTATATTTGGCTGGAATTGAAGACCATTCCAGCCCTTTGGACGGCAAGAGAACAGTTGATGCAGCTTTTTCAACCCATGACTTGAAATGTTGTGGTGATTATGACCGTCTGTCCAGTGAAAAAAATTGACCAATGGGTAACTAGTGATCGCAATAATGCGATCACAATTTTTTAGCTATTGTTCTTAAAACAGGTTTTACATTACCTTTAAAATATACTAAGCCTTTTTTCTAGTCTAGTCTGTTTGTAGTTCCTTTTGCATCTATGTATTGCATTTTTTGCTTGAATATTGGATGAAGATTCGTCATCATAGAATCGAAGCTATAATATCTCTCTTCATGAGTCAGTATTTGTATTTTTTTTAAGTTGTTAATCTTTAGCTATTTATCCGTAAAGTAAGCGGTAAGTGCCAATATTTTTCTAAGAACACGCATTCCAAATCTGATTATTCTGACAAGACATCTAAAATCAGCGTAAATTTGTGATCGATAAGATGTTTTAAAGTTTGAAATATGATCCTGCCTTAAATTTGCAATTAAGTTGTCAACTACAGTAAACAATTCCTTTTCTTTTCAGATATTGTTGTTTTTGATAATTCGTTCAGTTGTTTCCATTCAAAGGAAATCTACTACAGAATACGTTTGATAAAGCCTAATGAAGAGAGTTCAAACCTTAATTAGATTGTTTTTTCTCTCCAATTTGTACAGATATCTCTCTGTATAAAATAATTATGTATTCAATGTTTATGAATTTAATATTTTTATTCAATATTGTGTATTCAATATTTTTTGTAAAAATAAATGTTGTGAATTCTTCAGTCTGAGTATCTTTTCAAGTGTATAAAAGTTGTTTTTTGAATACCCCACATAAAAATAACGAATTTTTGCGAATATGTCATTTTCATAACTAAAAGGTCTGTGGAAAAATTATTTGTAACACTTTTTCTGTGAATAATATGATATTTTTATAACTACTGTGAGTGCGCATATTCACAATGCTTTTTTGTGAATAATATGCAATTTTCATAGCTACTGTGAGTTTGCAAAAATTATTCACAACTCTTAGGTCAAGTCAGCGCCCTATATGCTAAATTTGAAAATGGCACAAAATGTCAATACGAAGAAAAGTCACAATTTTGTGCAAATAAAAAGCGTTTGTGGTCTAAATTCTTAATTTTTAAAAACTTACTCCAATGTTGCCTTAAGTGGGTTCATAAAAATTAGTAAAATATGAATTCTGTAGTGTCATAAATGCGGGCTGAAGATCTGGCGAATGCATGGTATTTTTATTACAAGTTTAATAGTTAAAAATTCTTGAATTAGCTAACATAAGTTTTTTGTTCCATAGTATTTTCTGTACATTTTTGTACACTTTCATATGTTCAAGTTTCTAAGTTTTAGATTTTTTTCGCAGGTAAACAAAATGTAACCTACAGTTAAGTTAAGCAAAAGATGTAACGAAAAAAAACATACAATTTGCAACAATTTACGAAATTAAGAAATTACTCGTGTAAGTTCATAAATAAATATGGCCCTATACAGCACTTTAAGATTTAACTATAGTTGTATTTATGAAAGTTGCGGAGTGGTCTACATGGTATTTTTTTATTGCAAGGTTTATAGTTAATAAATCTCGAAATTATTGGATGTTAAAAATTTTAACTCAATCGTGATCCCAAGATATTTTTCTACACCACTGTATTATTTAAACTTTTTGTCTTACAGTTTTTGAGCATCAAAACAAAAGATCACGAAAAGTTGAACACTAAAAACAGCGATGGTTCTTGCGATTTTTTAGCAAGGAAATAAATTTTTTCTACTAACATTGAAAGAAATTTTAAGACTCTACTGGAGAGGCAGGTTATGTCACCAGTATCTCGTACCTTTAGCTACACCAATGGTGACATAAAAAACCAATATGCACTGGTAAGGTTGAAAAAGACTTTTAAATTTTAATGAAAATACATTGAGAAAGGAAATTATCTTTCACTCTGAAGTTAAGAATTATACCTGAAAAAAGCATAACAGGTGTTACAAAAAAAGACCATAGAATAGAAATTTAATAATCTGAGTTAGTGCAGTTACGCAACCTGCACAGTTCGGAATGATGATAAAAACGCGAAGTTTTGATGTTGTTGTTTTCTCTAAAGATATTCGGACAAGACAAGCTCGCCAGCCATCGGCTCTTGCGAATTAATTCAGGATTGAGCAAATTTTCGTTTGACAAGGGTGAAAATACGATTTAGCTTACAAGGGAAACTAGGGAAGTGTGACTCGCCAATTTTGAAATAAACTAGTGGGATGTATGCAGGTGACGAACCTCCTAATGTTNCTGTGAGAGATAAAAAATAATTCAATATATGGAAAAATCGGTATTTTATTACTTTAATGCAGACTGTTAGTTATTGTAATTGTCTCATACTCGAATTAATTTTGTGGTACATTCACGTACTGTATAATGCATATTTATTGTCAAAATTGATTTCGAAAATTTTATATATCTGTAGTTTTTCAGAAAAACCTGTTGGGTCAATTTAAAAAAAAAATTTACATAAAATTTTTTAAATTTTTTTCCCAAAAAACTTTCCAAATAAATTGGAGTATGTAATTGCATATCAATTAATTAATTAACAATTAATTAATAATTAATTAACAATTTATTAATAATTAATTAATTTTCTGATTAATTTATCAATTAGCAAATTAATTAATTATCCAATTAATTACAAATTAATTGGATTATGAGACAATTACAATAACTAATAGTCTGCATTGAAGTAATAAAATACCGATTTTTCTATATATTCAATTATTTTTTATCTCTCACAGGACCTTCTATGGGCCGAAACGAATGTCAATTAATTTATTAATTAGCAAATTAATTAATTATCAAATAATTACAAATAATTGGAATATGAGATAATTTCAATAACTATTAGTCTGCATTGAAGTAATAAAATACCGATTTTTCTATACATTGAATTATTTTTTATCTCTCACAGAACCTTCTATGGGCCGAAACGAATGTTGCCCCCTAAAATTATTCCTCATACGGCATACATCCCACTAATTTATTTAAAAATTGACGAGTCACACTTCCCTAGTTTCCCTTGTTAGAATCTCCTGGATAGATGGCAGCATCACTCATCCAATCGACCACTTCCACAATTTAGACATGGATCTGAAGGGGAAGGAAATTTTAGCCTGATTCATGTCCCCATGTAATTGCTCAGAGACCGACCAAAATTATTTTGTACCTACTGATTTTACGAGCAGGCACATCATACCTACTCGGGGTCTTGACTTTTTCTAAAGATCGTACCGCAGCTTCTCCGGAAGTCCGATATTCTAACCACTGGGCTAAAACGTTTTGACGATTCGATCGATTATGAATGACAAGAGAATGAATTACAAAACATAGCATAACAAAACCTTTGGGCAACATGAATTATAAAAGAAGCTCCCAATAGATTTTAATTAAAAATTTCGGGCAAAGAGATTTTGGGTGTTTTTGGAAATCAAAGAGAATTCAGGGAGTGTGTCGAAGACCATCCTTTTTAAGATGCTTTTTATCAGTTTAAGAAGTCCTGGAAAGCAGATATCATTGAAAAATCTATGGATGGCAGTAATCAATACACACAGTCACGAACACCAAAAAAAAGTTTTTAAGTGTCAGTTTAACTATAAAGATAGACCACCCAATCTATTAAGTTATATTTAGGCAAAATGAAATGTGTTTGGTATTTTAGTTGGTATTATGTCTTAGCAAAATCCCCTCTAAATTAATCTAAGAAATTTAAGGCAAGAAATTTAAATAATTTGAGTTTATTGATCGCTAATTTGAATTTTTTATTAACGGTGATGCCAGTTGCTTACAAAAATAATTGAAACTTATATCATAAAATTTGTTACTTCTTAAAAAATATCATGAAACTTTACTTATTATCACAGTGATCCGGTAATATAATATACACATTGAAATATGACATCTTTGGCGTGGAAATTATTTATGTGGTTTTTAAATCCAGGAAATTTCCACCTATTTTGATTATAAGTTTGATACGACTTGGAAATTTTCAGCGGACTTCTGGGAGATCGGTTTGAAGTCAAAACCACGATAATATGATTTGAAATATAATTTATTATTTTTTTACATTTTTATAATTTAAAACATTTTAAAATAACATTCCATGTGGAACAGTAACCATTCCAAACTCGAAATGAGTTTAGTGTCAACAGTGAAACGCAAAAAATATTTAATTGCAGAACTGAATGTTGCAAATAATATGAGAGATAAATTTAACATTTTCCTTAAAAAATTAAATGTTATCATCACAGTGATCTGGTAATATAATTATAGGAATTGAAATTTGGGTTGCAAATTATTTATGTGGATGCTAAATGAGTTAAATTTCCACTTATTTTAATCATAAGTTAGCTACATAAGTAATATTTCTAGTGGACATCTAGGAAACCTGTGCCTTAAGTCAGAACCAAGGTAATACGATTTGAGTCAGAGTTTATTCTCTTTCTTTATATTTTAAAGCATTTTAAAGAAATATTACGTGTTGAACAGTAATCATTCCAAACTCGAACTGAGTTTAGTGTCAATTGTTAAACGCAAAAAATATTTTATTGCACATTGCAGATAATGTGAGTGATAAATTTAACATTTTCCTTAAAAAAATGAAATATTATCATCACAATGATTCTGTAATATAATTATATTCATTGATATTTGGGATGAAAACTGTTTATGTGGATGCTAAAGGAGTAAAATTTCCACTTACTTTAATCATAAGTTAGCTACATAAGTAAGATTTTTAGTGGATCTCTAGGAATATAGCGGACAATTTAAGATAGCGAATTTTCCTCAAAAAAAAAATATATATATAAATAACTGTAAGACTTTTCCAGTACTTTGCCTTTAGGGAAAGACAAACTATTCATAGGTAATTACAGCGGCATTAAAATCCATCACCTTTTATTGTGTTTGAGTTATGATGCATAATTTTGGCTATGGCATTGTTGCAAAAGGAATGGCTGTTCAAATAAATGAATTAACCTGTTTGTTTTCCTTGTTCATAAAATATTGATGTGTAATCCTCTATTTTATCACAAACCATTACAGTGGTTTGTATTTATTATAAACATCAGTTCAGTTGCACCTGCTAGGATATATAAATCAGGATCATTGCAGCTGTAAGATTTTTTGAACAGTGAAAAATATCTTAAACTTAACAACGAGATTATGAACTTATAAATACAATTTTGATTTTTTAAAATTTACTTATTTAAAAATTATTAAAATAAAAGCTTAGAAGAAAGGATTTTGTGTTGAAAATATCATAGAACTACAACAGTAGCAAATGGTAAAATTTATTTTATTTCATTACATTTATTATGTTATTTTTAAGTTTATTTTAAAAGAATAAAAAGAAAGTATCTCTTCGAAACTTATATTTAGGTGATTCTCATCAAATAGGATAATGATCCTATTTGGTGAGAGATATGATATTACACTATAAAGTGATGAATTTTTGCTTAAATTTTAATTTATATAATCATAATATAATGATTTTATGCAGATGTTCACATAATTAACAAACATGTATGTAAATGTAAACACAATTAAACATACATAATTGTTTAAGTTCAAAATGTAATTTTTCTGGCATGTCGCGAACAATATTTACGATAATTACTTACTTTAAAATTTGCCGCATTAATTTTCTTCTTTTTTTTTTACATTTAAACTAATAAAAGCACTTCAAAAGTATGCGCACGAGGACTGATTTACAAATTATTTTGTATAATATAAGTTTTTCTGTCAATAGCTTGTATTTCACAGGAAAATTCGTAATTTTTCTGGCCGCTTGCTTCCCCCCGCCTATATGACCTATATGGTGCTAGAATTTATTTATTTAATTAAATTGCTTAGCCATTTTGACAGAACATTTTGCCAGTAAGAACGCGAAAGAAAATATCACTGATAATATCTATTTTAAGAGATTTTGAAAAGTAAGTATGCTGTCAATTTTCTGCCTTCTTTAAATCTTTAATAATTTTCAGATATGCATAATATACTTGAACGAGGGAGCTCTATCCACGGAATATTTATCTCCCCCTCAGGAACTTTTTTAGTATTGCAGAATTCTATAATAATGAAATATTATAACCACTTTATTATTATAGAATATATATGTATTGTGATTATATATCGTATATGAGCCGTGGTGGCTCAGGGGATAGAGCGTATTCGCCTTCCTATTAGATGAGCCGGGTTCGAATCAAAGTGATGGTTGGTGGTTTCGAATTCCGTACTCAACTCACACCAACCACAGAGCTGACGTAAAATATCCTCAGTGGTAGATGAATCATGGGTTAGAATCCCCTTGCCGTCAGATTTAGCGTTGGAGGTTTTCATGGATTTCCTCCGCATGTAGTGCAAAAGCGAGTAAGTTTCATCAAAAAGCTTTTCACGAAGGCTAGGTTGTGCCTATGCTTGATCTATGGGCTCCTTTGTCTTCTGGATTGGGTACAAAATAGCAAGCTAACTTTGCAGAAGAAACCGATATGTGCAAAAGCAATTTCGTGGGTTCGGTTAGCTCAGCGAGCCGGAGTCGGGGAGTTGGAGAGTTAGTTCTATGTTATTCGTTAACTATATGCAGTACTAAGAATGCAAAATAATAACGTAATGTGATAACCATACTAAACACTAAGTAATGTAATTTGGTAACCATATTCGGTATAAAGCAAAATGTATTTCGGTCACCATATTTAACACTAAGCATTCGATGTAATTCGGCAACCATATTCAGAGCTAAGCATCCACTATAATAATCTAATTCGGTATTCATATTCAGTGCTAAGCATACTATGCAATTCGTTAACAATATTCAGAATTAAGCATTCAATGTAATTCGATGCAACGCAGAAGCGTTTTTCTGTCTAGCAATGATAACTAAAAAAGTGTTTTCACTTATGTCCTTCTATCTGAGATGTTATCAATATGCTGATACTTTGAGGACTCCTCTAATGATAAGAAAGCATTTATTTTTCCATTTTATCCTGTCAGACAAATAAGGAAAAGATACGGCAATCACGCAACTTGTTAGATGTTTAAATATTAAAAACAATTGATTTCAGTTATATTGTTTGACTTCTCCTTGTAGCTGTTGCTGTAAGTATTTTTAAATTATCCATTTCAAATTACTTATAAAAAAATTTTCATATGTGAAACACGCCAACTTTATTACAAACTCAAAACTGGTTTGTAAAAAATTTTTTCTCAAAAATTTTTTATCATTTCTTTTTTTTTACAAAATTACTTTTCTATTTATATAGTGTGAAACTTGTGATTTATAAAAAAAAAAAAGCTTCTTATTTGATTCGGTATGCCCTGAAAAACCTATTGTACAAAACCTATATTTGTGTATTAAGTGATTAATACCACAATTCCTAGTATAACTATAACCATAACTAATTAAGAAGAGCCGCGGTGGCTCAGGGGATAGAGCGTTTGTCTCCCACACCCCAGGTTCGAATCCCTGAAGTAGCTGGTTGATATGATATTCTGCTCCCGGCTGGCATCCATTACAGTGCTGACGTAAAATATTCTCAGTGGTAGACAGATAATGGCTTAGAACCCCCTTGACGTTGAGCTAATCTTGAGAGGATTTCGTGTTTTTCCACCAAATGCAACGCAAATGCGGGTTAGTTTCATTGAAAATCTTTCACGATGTTCCAATGCTTGATCCAGGAGTTCCCTCTGTTCTCTGGGTAGGGGGTTGAACATTGATATTCGTGAACTCAGAATTGGTAGGCCTGTTTAAAGCCGGTTATAACATAAAATAAAATTTAGTTTATAGAGCCGTGGCAGGGCAGGGGATAGAGTGCTCATTTACCAATGAGGTGATCTAGGTTCGAATCCCAGCGATGGCTGGTCGATATAAATTCTGCATCCGACCGTAAGAATCTCCTCAGTAGTAGTCGAATAACAGGTTAGGATTCCCTTGACGTTAGGCTAATCATGGAAGGCTTTCGTGGTTTTCCTCTCCATGGAACGCAAGTGCGAGATAGTATCATTAAAAATTTATACAAGGTATCAATAACAAGTATAATATTTTTTTAACAACGTTCGAAACAGAATGGAATCAAAATTTCTTTTGTACATAAGACAAAGAAATAGTTAAGAAAATGAAGAAAAAAAGCGTTAAAATAATATTGAATTAAATTTGATTAAATTTAGACAACATCACTTAGCATGTGTAGTGTAAAATTAGCTATTCTGAAAAATTATATTGACTCGCCTTAAAGCTTCTTTTGTAGTATTTGAAAGCACATGGGACTTACATTTAACATTTACGCTTAAATTAGATGTTGGTATTATTTTCTTTAGTAGACGTTATTTAGTGGATGCCTTATTTTATTAGATGCTTTGTTTTCATGCTTATGACTGCTTACTCGCTTGAGTTCCTTGTTGCTAACGCGGTGAAGGAATTTCATCAGTTTCTTTTTTTAACAATATACGTATTAGTGTTTTCTATAATAGGATAGTGTGATAGTAAGTAACGATAATGACAATAATTATAAAAAGCAGTCTTTGTTAGTTTTGTGAAATAGCTATAATAAAATTTGGTTGTCCATTTTTTTCAACTAATCTGTTTATTCGTAATATTTTGTGTAGTAATAGTATTAAATTTCGTGAAATCAAGAAAATTTTTCAAAAAACATCCATCCTAAAAACTTACAAATTCCAAAATGCTTTCAAATTTTTAAAATATAAATAAAATGAAAAATCGAATAAAAATTAAAGAAACAGGTGTGCAACAATGTATGTATACTAAGTGCATTTTAAGACGCATTCTATCGAAATATGAAATTACCAAACAGTATGACATTAAACAACAACAAAAATAAAATGACATTAATAAAACTAATTTTTTTTACGAACTAGAAAAAGAATTTGTACTTGTTTAAGGTTGAAAAGATAATTTAAATTTGAGTTATTCTATGCAACGAATGAAAGTGAAAGTCAATAAAACAAAAAAAGTTTGAAAGAGAGAAAAAGGAAATGGAACCTGTCCATTCAAGGCCATCGTGTTTCCTTCGCGTCATGGTCAGTTTTATTTTTTCTGTTCGTGATTGTAATGTAGTGAGTTCAAAGTTAGAATGCAATCACAACCTTCCGGTTTGACAAACAAAATCATGCAGCACAATCTGATTATTGCCTTTTCTAAACAAATGTATCTTAACTCTATCGTAAATTCTTAGCTCTCACGTTTTGCTCTCATTTGAACCATGTGCCATTCGATCTACCCTGGTATGTTGATATTTTGTTCTATTTTGCTATTTTAAAATAGCTTGACATATTAATACACACGTTGATTTTTTTAAACGTAAACATCTAAATAGTCTAATAAATTGTCTAAATAAAATGTGCGGTCAGATATTGAAAAATATTGTTTACAATTTTTTATGATGTTGATAATCTCTTGGCCTATTTAAGACCTTAAAAAATAAGCTTGTATCAACAATTTCGGCCAAAAGCGTACTTTTAAAATAGTGAAATTTTTTTATCAACGTGATTCTTAAAACACATTATAATTATCTGGGATTTGTTTGAGTTAGATTTTCCGAAAAACGTTTTCTTTATCGCTCTTTTGCTATTTTACATACAATATGTTTTTCTAACAACCAGTTGGCATCTCCTGAATTGTGTTTATTCACATAAAAAAGGTAAATATTGTTAGAAATAATTTTTGTAATTTGTTTTTCTGAAAAAAATCGAATTTTATTTCGCTTAGCTTATTTGTTTTGTTTTCATTAGGACCATTCATATTTCCTTTCATCATATTCACCTGATGTATGAATGATTCGCAAAATTTTCTTGAAAAGATTATTTTAAAATCGTGTTAATATTTTTAAACAAGTGTTGAGTCAGCAAATGAAAATTATTTTTTTCCATTTAAATTTACGTAAAAATTTCGATTAGATTTTGAAAAAAAAATGTTGATCAAATTTTGTATTGTTTATATATTTTTTCAGCCTATTTAGGACATTGAATAGCTATTATATTATGCAATTAAGAAACATTTTATAACTTCAGAAGTGTTTAGATCATGCGATTTCTCATACATATCAGTGAAGTTTGCAGCTTTTAGAGGTTTGAGGGACCAACAACAAATTACGAACGTAAAATATTGTTTTTGATCACCCTAAAGAAATTAAAAAGAATTTGTAACTTGTATCAATTATTTTATTTATTATATACAATGCTTGCCCAAAATTTCGTAAGGTTAGCTTAAATATTTATGGAAGTATAAACATTTTTATAAAAAACTATTGTTTCGTCTTATTATTTTTTTGCTATAATGTTAAAAGTATTCAATAAAACTAAACAAATTTTCAGGTCGATTTAAAAAAACAAAATTTTTTTTTTTTTTAAAAAAAAATTTGCTGAAAACTGTGCAATAAATAAGCAATTAAAGTAGAATCGTATTTCGCAACTAATAAAAATAATCCGATTTGAATATCTTAAAAATTTAAAAAGCTTCAAGTAATTTTCTAGGTAGTTTTTGTACTTTTTAAGAGAAGCTCAAAATGATAAATATTATTTCGTACCATAAGGCAAAATTTAAAAAAAATGATATTACCTTACAATAAAGGTGTGTACACTGAAATGTTATTGTACTAGGAAGGAAAATTTGAGAAAGAAAATACACTTTTATGGGGGATGATTCTTTAAAATATTGTAGTTTACTTATAATGTGATCCCTTAACAACAATTTATAATCGTTTGAAACTGAATTTGATCGTCTAAAAATACATTTTTTTAATTGTTCGTTTGCAATTTTACATAAAATAAAACGTTTTTCTAATAACCTGACATCTCTCGTTTAGATCTTGTTCTCATAAAAGAGGTAAATAATTTTTAAATATTTATTATAATATTTTTTTCTGAACAGATAAATTTTATTATTTTGTTCATTCGTTTTGGTTTCATATGAACTATTTACATTTCCTGCCAACCCATCTTCCCTGAAATGAGGATAATTTGCTTTAGTTCTAGAAAAAAAAGCCATTTAAAAATCGTTTTGGCAATTTAAATGAGCGTTGATTTAACAGAAAAAAAACATATTGGTTAAATTCCAAAAAAAAGAAAAGAAATTCACGAGTTCATATGATGTTTATCTATTTTACTACTTGATGTTATCTATTAACTACAACGGCTATTATATTAAGTTTGTGTCATCAATTTTTTTCAATATTTACCTAAAATGATGTAATTTCCTTTCAAAGGCGATTTTTCAATAACTTTTTATAATCGTCTGAAAAACGTTTTCTTAATCATTCGTTTGATATTTAACATTAAAAAAAGTCTTCTAAAAAGTTTTTTAATATCTTTTATTTCGAGTTTATTTGCATGTAAGAGGTAAATAAGTGTATAAATAACTTTCATAATTTATTTTTCAAAACAAATGAGTTTTACTTCCCTTTTTATCTCATATTTTGCTTTTATTTGGTTCATGTGCATTTCTTTTCATCAAATCTACACCGAAATGATATTTTTTCCCTCTACTATTTAGAAAAAAGTTGTTTGTTGACATTTTCATGAATTGTTGATTCGTGTTTACATATAAATTTTTTTTATCTTAAAATGTTTTCGACACTTTTTATCTAAATTTACTTAAAAAGTCGGTCAGGTTTTGAAAAAAGTTGTTTACGAGTTATTTTGATACTTTCTCTTAATTCCTTTGGCGCAGAATTTTTATTAAACATATTTTTCTTACTTTTTTCATTATTTCATATTAATTTAGGTCAAAATAAGTGAGAAGCATTATATTTAGCATTTTAATAATTAAAGGTTATGAAATACAGCATGAAAGACGGGTGTTTTTTCTGTGTTAAGGAAATTCTTTCAAACATGGTTTACTTTTAAACAATTTTTTCAATTTGTCCTTATTTGTGGTTATTTAGATCTCAGAAAAACAGCTATTTATCATTTAAATTTCTTTAATTTACCATATCAATTATTGATAAATTTTTGAATATAAATTAATTTTTTTTCTTCCAACTACAAAACTAAATAAAATTCATAAAAACTTTATTTTGGATTTTATATTTTAGTACAAATATAATTCCAATAATCTATCAGATTTTTCTAGTAACTATTAATTA